GTTTCACATAACACATTCTAAAACTTTTTTACAACTTTTGAACGTAAACATTTATAACAATTGGTTTAATATGGGAAATCCTAAAGTATAGGGCAAGTTTGTTTCAATTGTTTATGTATGACTTTGTATTGGGCCAAGTAAAAAAAACAACTTATGTTTCTCGTCCGGATTTTTGCCAAAAAGCAGGGACGCGGGGCATTTTTTTTTCTTAGCCAAAGTAATAAGCTTTCATACAGTTTAGTAAGAAAAATGCACGCAATATTTATACACGCTGTGAGTTCCTGGCGGTTCGTCGCCGTTGAACTTGGTCAGCGGATAGGATTTTGAATGAGTCCGCAGTAGTTCCAGATTAATACTTCAAATTATCAAAAAGAAAGTTCAAAAATATGAAGCGAAATTTGTAGAGGAAAACCAGAAAAAAAAGGAAGTGGCCAAGAAAAAGGAAGCGGGCAGGGACGAGAAACATATATATTTTTTCAACTTGGCCTTAATATAGACTTTGTTCTTGATGTTCAAGTCTTTCCTATGGCTATGCATTGTTTGCGAAAGTTTCTTAGTTAAATTAACTTTTGTAGATGTTCATGATAAAAAGGAAAGCAAATTATTTTCATTAGCGTCCTGTACGAATTAAATTTATTTAATTTCAAAGTGCGAATAATTTAGTTGAAGCTCGAGTTGAAGAGTTTATGAATATCGGCAACAAGCAGTTACAGTGCGTCTAGAGTAACTGGGGCCACTTAGAGAACACTAACCAATCACATTGCAGAACAAAAATAGAAAAAATCAACAAACGGCGCATTAGCCAATCAGCATTAGGCCAAAAACAATTTGAACATATGCGGTAAAAATAGACTTGAAAAGTAAACATTGCAGTTACTGGCTTCCTGAAGCGAACTCCATGCTTTCTTTTGATTGGACGAGCTGTAGTTTGATTAGATTTCTATTTTTGTTCTGCAATATGATTGGTTAGTGTTATCTAAGTGGCGTTAGTGGCCCCACTTACAGTAGACGCACTGTAATTTCAATTCACCTTTAAAAACGTTATACGTAGAGTTTCGTTTTGAATTTTACATCAAAATAAAGCCTATATAGAAACCAAAATGATATACCTACTTTATATATTTTAGAAATTGATTGTTCTGTATTTAAAAGTGTTCAAATTTCATCTATTTTTTGCAGGTTTGTACAAAAAATTAAAAGAACAATTATCGTGTTGCCATGACTAACATGACGTGGCAACGCGAGCCTGCGTTCAGTGTTGGCGTAATCACGAATACTATTTGGAAAATATAGGCAAGGGGTTGTGGCATGCATGTATTTCTAGTAGTTATAACTATCGTGGTTTCTATTACCCTGGTTCCAGAGGTTCTTGTGCCGCCGTATATTTGTACGAAGGAACGGCGGAAGGGAACCTCTGGTGGCACGCAGTGTGAATCTCACTTCCATGTTGAATTGCCGTTTGAGAGCTTGCAAAATCGGTTTTATATTTTGTGACGTATTTAATATTTCCAGGTTTGTCATACTACCAAAATAGCTCTCTTTGACTGTTTGCCGTGTTTGGCAGTCTGGTGAAAAATATTAAAAACAAGCAGCCTAAACAACTCCTTGGAAACATGTAGATTATTCTCGCAACGTACATGCAGCTATTGTAATCGCCATTGTAGAGTTAGGCCTACATAGCAAAAGCAATCTCAATTGTTAAGTTTGTAATTTGTGGAATGCCGTTTGGATTACTAGCGAACGTAGCTATAAACTCAAAAGTCAAAAGTGAAAGGATAATGTTTATAATTATATACAGCCAATTCAAAAAAGGTTGTCCTTTGCAAACTTTAAACTCTAAACCTTAAACTCTGAGCGTGCAAAGCATAATGGGAGCATCATTTAATCAGTTTAGAAATCATATATGCATGGGGCCCATTTTTTGGAGACATGGTAAATATCTCCTTACGAAAACAATTCATTCACAAATGTCAAATAGCTGCAATATTCAACTACTAAGCTTGAAACTTGTGCTCCCATTAAGCTTTGCGCGCTTAGAGTTTAAGGTTTAGAGTTTAAGATTTTTCAAAGGACAACCTACCTTTTTTGAATTGGCTGTATAACGGGAAAATAAATCGTATTTATAATTCTTATTATATGGCAAGCATTACTTCCGGTAAAATGGCGGATTGTGATTGGCTGAGAAGCACCTTTGGCGGTCCATTATTTTCTCGTAATGGTCCGGCGGTCCATTACATAAAAACAAACGCATGCATTTTAAAACAAAACAGCAAAACTAATTGCACATTTAAAAATTATAATTTAATTTGTTATTAATAAGAGACGTGCGAATGGGTTTTAGTGGAAAAGAAGGAATACATTGATATTTTTTTGTTTTCTTCTACAAATGTGCACCACGCTACTAATATGCATTTCAAATCATGCATTTCTTGTTCGTTTCAAGTATAAATGCCTATAAATGCCATATAATAATAAACTTTTTATTAACCTCGCTCTCTGTATGTACAGAGAATTATCGCCCCTTGGTCTTTTTACAAACCTCGCCCTATGGGCTCGGTCTGTACAAAAAAGACCTCGGTCCGATATTTCTCTGTACAGAACTCGCGTTCGGTTAATCAGAAGTTAGCCGTAAAGTCAAAGAATTACCAAAATTTAAAACCTTGAACGATCATATATAAGCACACTTTATATTTTACAAACATTAATAGAGTGAACATGTCATGCCGTCAACTCAAGTCATGCGGCAGCTCTTCTCCAGCGCAGAAAATCTTTTTAAGTAGTGAGTTCATATCTCAGAGGTTCGTACTCGTAGCGAAACAAACTAAGTTAATTAGCAATTATTCGCCGAAGGCGAGGTCATTATCGGTGAATAAAAACCGAGACGAAGTCGAGGTTTTTATTCACGATAATCAGCGAGCCTGAGGTGAATAATTGTTTTAGTATAATTTCATAGGTGATTATTTTGAAAAAAAGAAAAAATGCACATTTCTTCGTCATTTAATTGACAAAACGGCTTCGGCCGCCATTTTGAAAATCGCTTAGGTGATTATCGCGTAATAATCACCTCAACAGCAACCAATAAGCGTGGAGAATTTTCAATAATCACCTATGTAATTATACTAATCTCAAATATTACCCGTGCACACTATAATAATAAAGTAAAGCATTTTAATACGTTCGTATATTATTTCTGTATTTTGTTTACATCATGCATGCTCTCTGAGATTTATAAACAGTTTTTTTTGTTTAGCTAATCACATCACTTCATGTGACTGCTAATTATAATTAACCAATCATGTGCTTGATACAATTGTTGTATCAAAGAAAGTGATATTTATATCGCGTGCTACCAGAGGTTCTCTTCGCCTCCGTGAAATAAATACGAGCGAGAATAAGGCGAAAGATACGAGAACCTCAGGTAACCAGGGTAGGTTTCTATATGAAATTGAAAATTTCCAGGGAAGTTACATTGGATACTAAATATAAAATTACCCTCTGAGTGGAAAGCGAAACAGATTAAGGCTTGCGTCAAACTCTATTTCATGTAAAATAAAGTATTATCACAGGGTAGCAATTAAGGATTCCAATTTGTTACAGGAATACATAACATTATAGGTACTAATATTTAACCCCATCGATTTATCTTTGCATTCATTTCGAAAGTATTGATGCCCTTGGTTACAATTTGAGCGCGCTACTTGTAATACGTTATTGCTACAAGTACCGCACACTATTAGTAATATTACAAGTAGCGCGCGCTACTAGTAATAGTACGTTATCTGTAATACTTTCGTACATACATGCAGGTCTTGTCTCTTTATGGTTGCCGCAGAGTATTTTAATAAACTAGAAAATACATGCATGCAGAAACCCTCGCCTTGCTGACAAAACCATTGTATTTTCCGAACATGAAGTATCTAAGTTGTCATGGTAACACGATAATTTTTTAAGAATATTCTTACAAATGAAAAATCGCTTATAAATATCACTTTTAAATTAATCACAAAATTATTAATTTCCCAACATATATATCTTAGGTATGTTATTATACGTAATATAAGCCTCGATTTAAGGTAAAATTCAACCACAAACGCTTCGCAAAGAGTTTTAAAGTCATTAGTGTTCTTTAATATAGAACTAAACTGCCTTTTAAAATGGCTTTATCAATAAACTTTGAGTTTGCAATAAAATGATTTAAAATTCTCGTTTGCAAATAAGTTTGCTTTCTTATTTATTTAAAAATTTCAATATCATAAAAAAGGGAATCAATATTAAAGATACACTGAAATTATATGCTGTCTTGTTTAGTTGTTTCATATACGCAAAGGCCGTCGGGTTTTAAACCATTATAAAATCAATATTTAAAACAAACTTACCATCGTTAACGTCGGCTCCCTTCTTTTAGCCGATTCTTTCACAGTTCCTTTCTCAGAGAGCTTTTGAAATTTACAAAATCTTGCAAAAATGCGAGCAAAAATGAAATATATTTGCAAGAAATTTATCAATCATCAAATCAACTCAAGAAATGTTTGCTATTTCGCTGTCGTCATGCAGTCGTTATAATGCAAACTTTAAATTGGACCAATCAGTGTCCGCTATTCGTGACAGTCCGCCATATTTTTGAGATCAGTGAGGATGACCACCCACCCAACACCGTTGGTGACCCACGCCCGCGATATTTGATGAACTTTAGACTCCGCTAATGCTTTCGTTTCCCCGGGTGTAAATAGCCGGGGGGAATTAGTACCCTCGCACGGCGCTTCGCGCCGTCGGCTCGGGGAAAATTGCTATTTGCCTACATTTTCATTTTCTACGTTTCGACTACTATGTCACATTCATCTTCAGGAGAATGCCACTTTATTTAAATAAATACTTAGCGCTAAGCATTTATTTAACAATTCTGTTTAAGAATTAGACGACGAGGCTGACTTGTCTAAGAGCGAATAGTCATCGAAGGCGTAGCCTGGGTTGACTATTCGCCAAAGACAACGAGCCCGAATATGACGCTCACTGGCACTGCCTTACTTTTAACAGATTCACCTCTCGGGGTAATACGTCAGATGTTGACAGCCGAATATATACTGGCAGTTTTGTACCTTGGTGTGCATAACCTTCTTCTGTGGTTTTATGTTGGTTATTTTAATTCATATTTGGAATTTATGGCTGACAATGACAAGGATACAAGTAAGTCGACTTCAACGGATTTGTTCAGTCTTTTCACTTTTAATTAATAGTTCATGCAGTCAAGGGAAATGAAAACAATTAAGTTATTTGTGTGTTCCACCTTCTAATATAGTAAACAACTATACCGAATGGTTTGGTGTTATGCAATTTACTGGGTTTTTCTTTGCTCCCATCGTTGGTTTTGTCATGGACTGGAAACCAAAGACGAAACGGAATAAGAAAACTGATATTGGTTTCGTAGCTGGTTATCTTCTAACTTCATTCCTCGCCTTAATTTTGAACATTCTCATTCTTGTTCCCATTCTATAAGTACAGGTATCAGAGCTGTGGTAGTGATAGACTTGCTCCAAGTCTCTCTTTCATTGTCATATATTTCGATCCACTATAGTGTACATTACATGTCGTAGCACAGAGATGCGGAAAGTCGGTGACCGCCATTTTTTATATTATAGCATGATGTCTTTTAGTATCTTGAATCATTTTCGTGAGGAAACTTTATATTAAAAGGGCATATGACTCGAACATTGACGTTGTTATTTTTTAGTCTAGCTTGAAAGATCATTGAAAACTGTAGAGTAACTTCTTTGATATATTTTTGTTTTCTTGCTTCGTTTTGAAGATATTTCATTTTGTATTTGCAAATTGAATTTTCTTTTCATTAATGGCGAGATCCATATCCATGGTTTCATGCATAACCTTGCACGAATTTCGGATTTTCGTTTAAGACGGGAAACTGGTCGAATAGATTTCGGTCTGATATGAATATGAAAAAACCCATCAGATGAATAAACTCGAAAAATCCTGTAAACATCAATAACAGTTAAGATGCAGTTAAATCAGTTATAATTTATTCCTATGATATAAGTAACTTTCTGCCTTTTGGATCAACATTTCCATCACTGGATCTTGAGTGGATTACATGACTACCATATTTTTCCTTATTTAGTATGTTTCATTTCTCGCCGCTGTCGTGTTGAGAGCGTTCAATTACTCCGTTTTTGCCTCATTTATTGTACACAAGTAAGTACCATTTATATATAGACGTAGGATAATCCCCGAGCAACGAGTTGATGGACTCATTTCGTCTGGCCATTTAAACTGCAGGAGTTAATAGTTAAAAATCATCAAGTTGCTTGTGATGGATGCTGTTCTACGTACGTTATGCGAATGGGCAAATGTAGGCCGCGTGTTCATGGACTAGTGTCTATCTATTTTTTATTCCAATTTGTCCAAGTGAATTAGACTTTTAACAGTTTATCAACTCTAAGTTCTAAAAAAGAAATATTCATTTTCCTGAACGACAGTATGTGAGGACTTGTGACAAAGAGAAACAAAAATAAATGAAGTAAAAATAATTTTCCATGGCTGGAAAAAAATATGCTCTGGTTATCCATCGAGCACTCTCCCAATCGAAAATGAGCCGCTTCTGATCATTTGTAAACTCACGCAAAATAAATCGCAAAATATTTAGTCGAATAAAAGGATTTTTAATTCAACAAATGTGAACAGCATTTATAACAACACAACAAAAGCGCGCCAACGGCTCATGTCACCAACGCATGTCCAATTACTTGTTCTCAGTCCTCAAACTGCCCTTCCCTAAGAACGAACTGTGTCTCACAGTTCAAAAGTTAGTTTCGTACGGAACGAGCCAGTCAGGTGGCCTGCGTTGTCGTTGAGATCTTCCTTCAGGCTCCAACACCACAGGTTCAGCTTCAATTCGTCTTGTGCTTGTTGTATCTCATTGTTCATCCAGGGCTCGTGATCCATCAACAACAATGACATAATCGTCCCCGCTTTCAACTGTATTACCGTCATTGTAATCATGCATGTGGTCCCGTGGAATCTCTTCAACTGATTATGGTGGACGATTCTTCGTTTCAGACCAACCTTGTTAGATTCCACGTACTGTATTATATATATAATAACTTTCCATGGGTCTGTCCACGGTTTGTTCAGCTTCATTGCAATTCGGGTTTTGTGATCTTTCCACATTACGAAGTCGGCTTCTTTGAAAACATTTTCTCTCGCCCACCTGTCGTAATGTTTCTGTGTTCTATGAGATGATCCGAGCATTTCCCTGTAGCATTCAAACGCCTTCGTAAGCCTTTTCTTCAGTTTGTTTTTGTATACTCAGTGTAAGAGTCATTCATTTCTGTTTTTTGCTCATTCATAACCCTGCTATAGTCGAGATAAGTACTGTAGGTGTGTAACCGGTGGTGTAGTTAAATAGAGAAAAGGAAGTTGTACTTTTTGGGAGGACTTATCAATTCGTCTCATGACCTTGCACGAAGAAAGCTGTTGATGGTGAGAATTATTCGCTGGAAGTATAGCAAAGGATGGTTTTGTGGCTGTCATGAGGATTGTGTGTGAGCACAACTTGTGGTCTTACATTTAAGCTTTTTTGGAGGATGGTACTTTTCCAACAAAAGTGCAATGGAAAAGAGTGGTTGTCAATGAGATGAATGATGCGGAAGAATATATTATGTATCAGTCAATTCCAGCGGTACCCATCCCCCCCTGGGGAATTAGCCATTTCTGGAAAGAAAATGGCTATGTCCCCACCCCAGGAAAGAAGAACTGTGCTAAAGCCCCACCCCTGAGCAAACAAATTGGGTCTATGTCCCCACCCCCGGGCAATAATATTGTCTGTTTAGCACACGTTGATTTGCACGTTATAATTCTATGCCTATGGACAATATAAATGCGAAGTACAAAGGGTAAAAATGCTTTTATAAAACGAAAAGGGTAAAAATGCTTTTATATTAAGGCAACACTGTATAAACTTTCAACCCTAACTTCAGCGCATCTAGCTAGACTTATGATAATGTTAATGTCAACCTTTGAAAATATTGTCTTTACTTAAAGGGCCAGACACACCGGACGCAATTGGAGAACGCGACGCAATTTTTCGATTTTCACTGACCGATAACTTTGATCCAAGTTTAAACTTTCTAAATATTTAGAAGCGTTATAACATTTTCAGTTATTTGGTCTAAATATCTTTTAAAATTTGCTTTATTAATTTGTTTTATTAACTTTCAAAATCGCGTCGTGTTGTCGAATCGCGTCCGGTGCGTATGCATGGACCTTAGCCAAGTTTCGTTATGTCGCTGATGGTCGGCGATGCACTCACACATCATTTTTTATAGTGATCATTGCCCATTGAAGGAGAAAAACTATTTCATGTAGACAAAGGATTTTACTCATCAATGATCAGAGACAATGGTACTGAAAGACCGTCCCAAAGAATGAGTATCAAGCCATTTGCAAACGAATTCAGTTTCTTTTCCAACGAAATCTGCCATGTTACAGTCCGCCAATCGCCATGACGGAAAACGTCTAAGTTCCCACCCCCGGGCTGAAAAATTTCAGCAATAGCCCCACCCCCGAGATTACGAAAGCTGCGAAGGCCCGGGGGTGACACGGGGGGAGGGATGGGCACTGCTGGAATTGACTGATACATTATTGTGTGGAGAGAAAAAATGCGTCAAAGTGTGTTATGGATCGATATTTGCGAGTAACTAACAAACAAACAAACTAACTAACAGACTGAGTGACAATGAAATAAACAAATAAATAATAAACACACAAACCTACCAGAAAACATGGCTTAAATTTATATGGTATGATGAGACTGCATTGTCAAATCTTCAGTACTTTCGTTGTTCTACGAGAAATACTCAGCGGTAACTTATACTCCTTACTTTCATTGACTTAGGTCTCAAGTATTACAGTTTGGAACATTATACGGTTTTGGTAATCTAATATCAGCAGCCATAGGATCCTTACAATATGGATTATTTTCAATTGTTAAGGAAACACTTCACGGAGATCCATTTTGGGTAAGTTTTAGGGACTGTAGGAGGCAAGTTCTCCGACAAGCTTTAACCTTTTTTGTAGGACCAACCGCCGCCCTGCTTGCATGGACCAGCTTAAGGGGCTAAGCAGTTAAATGAGTGTTTTAAGTGTTATAAGATCCCGCCACTAGCCCGTCCAGATAGACAGGATACCGCCATATATTGCCGGGATAGCGCCTGGCCGGAATGAGAAATTTAAATAAGAAAAATCACCGTTCGTGGAGTGTTGTTATAAGCGTCGCTTCCTAGGCTTAATTAATATCATTTTATTCAATTTACTCGATTCTGATTGGTTAAAAACCGTGCCGACTAAACATTAATCGCGCAAGTGTGTCGATTAAAGTATGGTATAAATTGAAAATTAATGTCAGAAATTACTCTCAAAATTCACAAAGGCGCGTATGCCTGTGCCCGCGTGACTACATTAATATAATGTTTCTTATCATTGATTGCTCGTGTAAAATGGACTATAAAATGATATTTAATAGGAAATTACACTAGTATTAATGAAAAATAATACTTGTGTTTGGCGAAATATTTATAATACCGCGAGTGCGCAGCACGAGCAGTATTATAAATATTTCGCCAAACACAAGTGTGATTTTTCATTAATACTTCTCGAACCGTGTAATGTCCTATACTAATCGCTCTAATGAAAAATTACAAATGTTAGAAAGCTTGAGTAAGCAACGTTTTTTAAACACAGACGCCGTCCGGAATTCAATAAAGCCGTTATAGACACAGACGGCCCAATCTCGCAAGGGTCAGTATAGACTTTAATATAGTATAAAAAATGTATATTATATTAATGTATATTATAGTAAAAATATGTCATAAATATATAAATTTTAAAATGAAGTTGACTTGCCTATTTACCTTGCCATTTTAAAGGTGGGAAAATACGCGAAAATGTAGTATTCAATAATCGGTGAAGACGACTTGTTAGTAATTAAAGGGATCACACAAGCCAGCAATGAACACCATACCTGGGATTAGGATATATAATTATTCACCGAGTCTAAAACGAATAATTGTTGATTAATTATATTTTTATCAGCCAATCAGAACGTTTAAAACTTACTAAAATGATGTCATCCAAATAGAGATTTTATGCACGGAATCCGAAATGGATTGCCTTCATGCTTTAATTCATCTCACTTTTCTGTATAAAAACAATTCGAATTATAGGATAAATAAAAATTTTGTTTAATATTTTTTATGTTTAGATAAATCTCAGCCTTCTGGTGTTGTGCTTGGTTCTCATTATCCTCCCTGCTTTACTGTGGATCAAGGAAGAGAGAACGTCAGAACATACTGGGTGTTTAGGAGACCGAATAATTTGTTGATTTTGTTCTTGTTATAATAAAACATTGTCTATTCTCATGAGAAAGTTTCAATTCGCTCGGTCAATCAGCTTGCAGCTGGTTGAACGTGATTGGCTGATCAGATTAAAAGCTGTCAAGCGCTCTTGACAAACATTGAACTTTCTCGGTAAAAAACATCGAACTTGTCACGCGAATAGGCAATGGTTTTATGAGCGATCGTTCATCCTTACTTCCAAGCGACGGTATTAAATTGGTTGATATTTAAAGCGAGTGGAGCTATCGTCTGCCTGGCATCTTTGGCGGTCCTGCCAGGACGGTAATGAGAGAATTTTGTATTATATTTATGGGGAAAACGGGTATTTATCTTCGAGTTTGTTTGCACATTAATATCGTTAATTTTAATATATATAATTATTCAAATATCCCGGGTTTTCTCGTCTATACCCATCGCTTGGACGTCAATATATTTCAGCAGGGACTATCGATTTTGTGGTGTCAGATAAGTAAAGAAAAGTGGATTTGTGGAATTTTAAATTAACTGTCTATACTTATCGTGTAAATAATGTAGTTTTAAGGCTTCGCAACAATCGGGATCGAACTGGACAATATATGCTAAATTATGCAATTACATTCAAGTTTGAGGAAAGTAATAGATACGTTACGATTTAGGACGGCAACGCGACGGCCACCAATACAATAAATCATTGAAAAGAATTGAATAATTACAAAAAATGAATAATTTAGACATTGTCCTCGCTCTGTTTACAACGCGAAATCACAAATTTTCACGTCTTTTAATTGATACATCAGCTGCATTTCAAGCAGCAACAATTGAGTGCAACTTCAAACTGGGTTCAGCAGAATTCTTCCCAACCATAAAACACATGTCTTCAACTTTTAAGATTGTATTAAATTCATATTATTGATAACATCCGACAAATTACCTTTATACTACCACCATTTATTTGAAGGAGTTTGTTTTGGCCGTCATCATCGCGTTGCCGTCCTAAAATCGTATAAGGTCTCTAATAACAACAATGCGGAAACGGTACAAAAGGAATAATATTTTAAATTTAACGTCGAAATAAAATAATTTTCCGTTTATTTGTTACATTGAAGCTACTGGGATTTTGTGACAACTATATAGCCGTGCGTCAAGTCGGATGATAAGGTACACAGGCTTGAGAGCAATGTAGACGAGTCAAGTGTTGATGACAACATGAAAGGTCTTCCACATTTCGCTGGAATTATGTCGTCGTAAACGTGTCAGTAAACGAAATACGTTCACATATGGTTTAGTTAAATGTCCAGGTATTTTCTTTGTATAATAGCGAAAAGTAATTGATAGCAAAAATAATATTTATGCAGTTATGAACGTGTTTCCTCTTAGCATTCATTGATGAAACGCACCAAAAATATGTAGAATTAGAGTGTAAAGAAACACTTATAGTAAGTATAATTATTATTACAATGTTACTATATTAAAATATGTCTCTTTGGTAAATCGTGTCTCTGCACCATTTTACATTTACCGCTTCTTTATTTAATGTGTAATAAAATAATTCAAGAATCGCCTGTCTACACCGCGGCTTCAAGGACATTTTGTTAAAATTTCAATATTGCACAACTGAACTGGGACAGACTTGAGAAAAATTTCCAGAATAGCTGATGAGGCTACTCTAACACACTACAGTCCTTTTTCATTTGGAACGCCACTCTTCATTTTCATAGTGTATAGACGCAAAAAATGCGTCTAAACACTGAATATTAAGGCCGCCAAAATAATCTATAAAATGAATATTTTTTATTTCAAATTTATACCAGCGGTTTTATAGAGGCAGCGATAGGTGATGGCGCAGTAGTGGTTTATAATGCGATTGGAGTCGAGTGCAGGTTCAAATACATATGCAGCGTCTCATTGCAACATATATAAATATTAAATCTAGAACACAAACGCGGAAGTGAATAACATAGTCTTTAGCGTAGTTATTCGCTAACGGACTAGCCACAAAAACAAATAGCATTTCTAAAAATATGTCTATTTTAGAGTCAGCGATATATCGGCTTTGGAGCACTTTATCTTGTTAAGGATGAGCTAATTATATAACGGCCTTTTAAATTATATACTGCAAGTGTATGATTTCGTAAATGTGTCATATGCAATGGGATAAAAGACTCTAAATCCAACATCTCAATCACGAAAACAAGGCTGTATGGGCTAGATTGAACACGTTTCAGAAAAGTGTATTGGTATGGTAATAAATTAATTGACAAACATTTCCTAACAGACCTAGGAGGAGGGATTTTTTATGGAAAATACATTCGTTTTACAGTCAATCTACCGCCCGACAAATTTTACCTGGTAAAAGAAACTTCCTGGACGTGTGTTCTTTTTTGTGTTTTTTTTTGCTCTCCACCCACCCATCAGTGAACAAAAATTAACAGGCCAGTGAAAAGATCAGAGGATAAGCTTCAAATGCATCATTGAACCAGTTTTATCCTCGCAGAAAGGTAGGCTATAGCAAGAACCTCCATAAAAAGCTGTTATGTGCATTAAAAGCCAGAAGCTTCAGTTTTTTGCAAATCGACCATTAATTTTAAACGATTTTGAATTGGCGCATGTGATGTTATGTGATGAAAGTATGTTCCACAAAACTTACCTACAGTTAATTTATTTAATTCCAATTACCATCCTTCACAGCATTGTAGGGTACCAGGTTAGGGTGTACACCATTCAATTCAGAAGCATATTTCCTATGGAGATGTTGTTGAAGCTCAAAAGAATCTCAATGTGGTGCCTGATGTCGTGAAGAGGATCAAATCCCACTTCATAATCACCACAGTGCATTGAGTCAAGAGGAAGATTTGGATTTTGGTACAGTAAAGCAAGGAATCCTTTGTAATCCATGTAATTCTTCTCTATTCCCCTTAAATATGCCTCTAGCATATAAATCCCTGATCAACTCATCTTTCTTTAAATCTTGAAAATGCTTATTTGCCTTTGGAATTGAATTTTTCCTTCCATGAGGATCTTTTAGAACAAGATTTTGCCTACCAAGATGTAGGCAGCGAATGAAATAATCCATCTCAAACACATGATCGGCACTCGCCGCACAGATGGCGCAATCAAAAATCGTCCTCTTCGCTGGCCGCACTCCTACTGGCAAGAAGTGGTATCACCATGGAAAAACCGCACCGTATCGTTGACATCGACGATTCATGTGGTTCTCACCGAGTGTTAAATATATTCTAAGCATTCCAGCCTAGTTTCTACATAGCCCAATTGCTCTTTATCAGGTGAACTAATCTTTCAACTTTGTAGACACTATGCGATTCCACTTTTGCCTGGATGTTTACCCATTTTCCCATTCACCTGTTCACACAAACAGGACACCATGAAGACAAGATGAGAATGATTTGCCACTGTTGACAAGTCATGCCGGAAGATACGATGCCGTGTTCTTTGTATATCTTTAATCACTACTTCACTCTGACCATCTTCTATTTCATTTACCAGATTGGGTCTGTCAATAATAGCACCGTGTGGCATTGCTTCGAAGACATTGTCCAAATTCCCCCCAATGTATTCTTCCAATTCATCTAGCTTTCGTTCCCTGATTTTACGCAGCAGCCTTTTGCAACCTTCGTAGAAGAAGTGGTCCGTTATGATGGAGCAATATTATTCAAGTACAGCCTTTTCATACTAGAATATTAAAAATAAATTACATTGGTACAGGACTACACAGTAGCCTGCACATCAATACGCGAAACAGGTAAGCAGTTAATTAAAATACCGTACTGTACATATATTTTTTATATATTCTATGTCTTAAACTAAAATAATATTGTAACAGCTATTAAATGAACACATTAAGCACGAGTATGCCCTACTTTATTAAGCATTAGACTAAGTCTATAATGAACTGCTGGCTAACACAACGGGGTACTGTATGAAGGCCAGATCATTACCATTGGGTGAACAAAATGTGTGGAATTAGATAGCTATCTAAAGCCCCGTTTACACTACGCTCAATTTTTGATACGGCACGGATAAAATTGGTACCCGTACCACTTTTTTGCCAAGAACCAAAAAAGTGGTACGGTACCAAAAATCGAGTGTAGTGTAAACGGGGCTCAAAATATAGGTAGTCCATGAACCAAAAAAGTGGTACGGGTACCAATTTTATCCGTGCCGTACCAAAAATTGAGCGTAGTGTAAACGGGCCTTAAAACATTATATTGACCTTCAATGGATTATTCATTTGATTGTGGCTTTACTATCGAAGTATATAATCAAGCATTGTCCCAAACAGCTAAACCAGTTACTGTAGCACAACAGTTTTCCTACTGCGTAATATTTAATTAGCAGATTTTATAACCTATAGCCTGTGTGGCAGGCCCTCGATTTTATGGGGGGCCTGATTTGCAGCGGGCAGGATTTTGGCGGGCTCCGGGGGAGGATTGAGGGCCTGCAGGAAAGCCCACCTTTCACGACTACACGCCGTTCAGATTCTGGACGGTGAATACGATCACCTGATTGGTCAATACCAAGACAGTGAAAAACCGTAGTATTTCTTGTTTTCAATATTGTTGCTTATCAACTTTCTAATCTTGATACTTATCAACTTTCTAATCTTAACAGCTTTCTAATCTTGAACTGTTGAACATCGTGGCTATTTTTTCTTGTTCAGCAGCGATACAAAAGATGATCTCACTGGCCAGTCGTCAGGAAATAGCACAAGATACTGCAAACAATTAACGTGCATGGATGTCAATACTGATTCTGATGATGTACTATATAAAAGTAAGCTCAACATCGACGGTTTGAAAACGTGTGAAGGGCGTTCGTGTCTGGGTGGTCCAGCCACAAACAACAAGATTAATTTTCTAATTATTGGACTGTCTTTTCGTTTGTAGGGTTTCCGCGTCACAATATTCCCATTCGGATGACCTAAAAGCACTTTTAATGATTTAAGTGACGAACGCCCTTCACACGTTTTCAAACCGTGGATGTTGAGCTTACTTAGTACATCGTCAGAATCAGTATTTACATCCACGTTGTCTGCAGTACCTGTGCTATTTCTTAATGACTGGCCAGTGAGATCATCTTTTGTATCACTGCTGAACAAGCATTTTTTACGCGCAGATTTCGATTCAGTTCTAGACATACTACCCGCCGAACAAACGCGATTTGATTCAGTTTGGTTGAATGGACTAGCGCCACGGTCAGCGGGTCAGGAGTTAACAGTTTACGCTGTCCTGACGTTTCTACATCTTTGGGCTGGTAATGGTGTTGAAACTTCTCGTGTAGTGTATTAACTGAAGATTTTAATTCCGTTACAAGCTCATGCACTTTTAGAATTTTTTTTGAAGCCAACTTTCTCACATATAATCTGAAAGCACAATTCCGAAAGATTGTTTTCTTTGTGATGGTTTTTGTGATGAAACATGGACAATTTTACTAAAATTGCCGAATTGCTGTTTAATTTAAAACAACATTTACAAAATCTGCAATACTGTATTAAATCGTCGGGAGTTTAATTCGCAATATTGTTTGATTGACATGTTTACGTGCAAGCGAATATTATTTCTTTCGGGCCAGGGTTTTCCCTAATTGCAGCTGAATTTTTATTGGTCAATTTTAGAAACCATTAATTATGTTATGACTGGGGCGTGTAGTCGTGAAAGGTGGGCTTTCCAGCAGGCCCTTAATCCTCCCCCCGGAGCCCGCCAAAATCCTGCCCGCTGCAAATCAGGCCCCCCATAAAATTGAGGGCCTGCCACGCAGGCTATATAACCTACTGTACATCATTAGAAATGGAATTGATGAACTTACTTGTTGAGGTAGAATAAGCTCCCCAATATTGTACTCCCCAGACAGTATTTTCTTGTTTAACTTGTTGTTCCATTCCCTGTTATTCACTGCGCATGGTACAGTGGTCTCACCTACGGCACTTCGTTTCATCCTCTTCCTGATTCGCCCGCCATCATGGGACTTGAGGAAACCCTGAACTATTTGACCATCATTCTTCCCCAATTCCCGAATCTTATTCCAAAATTGATACTTTCGTGCCAATTCTGACCAATTAACTACATCAACCCCATAACCACTCACTTCCTCCATCAAAACGTTCTTGTCCCATTCCATATTTTCAATCTTTCCAGCTCGAATTGTTTTAGTTGTGGTCGATTGTGTCTTTAATTTGTCTTCTGTCTCATTGTCTTGTTGCCAGCGACTGTCTGTTTCTATCAGAAATTGCCTATTATTAATATTATTATTTAGTAATGTTATTAACACTATTATATAAATATGATGACAATGATTGTTATAACATATTGTCGTTAATAAATAAAAAAATAAATAAGGTTGTGTTATTTTAACTATTACATTTATGCTTTGGTTAAATTTCGCAATATGTACAGTACATAGTATTGTACCCGACGACATCCGTCTTAGCCCACTGAGCTTCTGTTGCGTACTTTGACTCCGTTCATTTCCTTTTTCATTTTTGATTTTTTCTGTTCTATATTTAACTCGGGGATATTTATCAAAGATGAAGATGATGGCATCTTACAGACGCTTTCAAAGGATGGGTTTGTCCTGTTCTATACTGCCTGGGCAGTTTCCACATCTTTAGCTTGAATACTGCAACCTTTGCATGTAGCAAGTTCGTTCGCAGATGAGTCAATAACATCGGCTAATTACGAGACTTTCTGGCTAGAACTATCATTGAACCGTGCTGATTGACGGGTAATTGAGCTTGTGTAGCGACAACACGATCTTAACAGCTTTGAAGGTACGCTATCCTTCCGGGGCCACAGATAAAGCCTTCCAGCTTTCGATGTTCAAAGTTGCGGTATATTGGTTGCGTTCATGTGTATTATGTCTATCCCATCCTGAAAAGAAACGTTTTGCACAGGTCGAGAAGTCACTTTCGGAATGCCTTCAGATCGATACCGAAGTTCTCTTTGTAATATTCGAACACTGTAATGAAGCGATTAATTAAAGGCTCAGTGTCACCTGTCGAGCGATGTTATTTAATTAATAAGCATAAAAATGCAGCAGTACTAAACTGTGATTGGTTGGTTTCAGTTAATCTCAAACAACAGTACAAAAATCTGCAAAAAAAACGATCTGATTGGTGGAAAAAAGAATTGGATCTATAGTTGATGACCAAAACATTAACCAAGATTGAAAGTCATATTGCGTTTGCTTACTTTTTATTGATTTAATGTGCTTTTTCTATTTTCTCACTCTTCGCAAATTTGAAGCCAGGCATTAGTGAACCTGAGTACATGAGCATCAAACTGTAGGTAACCCTGTTTTACAGTATTTACATTGGAACCTGTGTCTATGGCTACGTTTACACTATACCGGATAGCTTTCCGTAGCTATCCTATACGGAATGTACAATTCTCAGAAACTGAGCGAAAGAAAATCTCTCTGTTGCAATAATTCCTCTGAAGATAGCATTACTAAAGGTACGGATAGGTGTTGTTCACATCGCTATGGAAGGCTATCCAGTACAAGTGTAAACGTAGCCTATACTTGCATTTTGCGTTTTATCCATGCAAGGCATTGAGCGCTTTATAGTAATCCAGTATTTCAATGCACCTAGATTACCTTTTTATTCATTAAAATTATGCAAGGATTGTCCTGTTTGTGTGCTTCGAGTCGCATGATACTGTAATAGCATTTAAGTAAAGCCGTTTTATTACACTGTATATCCATCCATACCTTTAGAATGACCATTATTGACCACAGCCGAATTCTCTTGGGTAACGAACATCTGACATTTTATATTTTCAGTTGTCTTAGTCATAGCCTCAAGTTCATCCTATAATGGTAAAAACATACTTCAAAAATTCGTGATCATGATCGCGTGAGCTAGGCAAACCAATTAACGAAAGCGCTCTAAAGTGTCTCCAAAACATCAAAAGCGACATAAACGTATAGCTACACTTTTCATGTCTTTTTGGTAAACGAGCAGGCGCAAATAATCCCTTGAGGAGTAAGCGTTCCTACAAGGAGACCTACATGCATATATGGTAATGTTTTCGTTAAGCCTGTTGCAGAGTATTTCTCAATTGCAACATTATACCAGGACTGGAGTAGTTGTAAAATGAATTCTATATCAGCAATATACCAATTAAAACTTTTTTTAACAAAGTTTTTAGTGGGTTGTACAGTAGATGAAGAAATATGATCTGATTCACATGTACGCCTATTAGGTTTCATAATATTATATTTGCCAATATATGAGTGTAATGAACTGATGTGAGTTTATGAATATAATGAACTGGGGCCGGTTGTATAAAAACGTAGTTAGCGCTAACTGCAGTTAAAAAGTAGTTAAAAAGCCTTAAAAAATAGTTAACTTTAATCACGTAGTTAAGCCGGTTGTATAAAAGTGTAGTTAGCCTTAACTGCAGTTAAAAAGTAGTTAAAGTTAACTATGCTTTAGGGTATAGTTAACTGTCCAAAACGTAGTTAAAAATGGCGTTTGTATAGGAGTGAACAACATTTTTCAGTAAAACAACAATGAAAAGCAACGGTTACCTAAGATTTTCAATCGCTATCTTCCCTGTGAATGTTTCCTGACAATATAAACTCTTCAAACGCTATCGCTTTGGTGTTTTTACGAAAATAGAACATATTTTTGCACAGGACGATTTCTCGAAGACGAAGTATGGTCCATTACACCAAGAAACACTGATATATAATTGCCAAACAGCTATACCTTTGTTTAACATAGGCATCTCAAGGAAAAACTGCATTCTTTTATGATTTTTGTGGCGGTTTTTCCTTGTTTTCTTGTATATTTTTCACTGTTTTCTAGTGTTTTGAATAAAATTCCCGCCTATTTGCAAAATACGAGTCCACAATCATGTTGAAAATGTCTGTCAGCGGTCGTTACTCGGCTTACTTTATGTAATTTTGTGTTTAAACGCCCCACGCAAGCCCCACGCACAGTTAACTACGTGATTAGTTAACTATCCGACTAACTACGTTTTGTGCAACGCAGTTAAGTCATGTAGTTAACTAATTACAGTTAAGGATTTAACTACCGTGATTAACGCTAAATACAGTTAGCGCTAATTACGTTTTTATACAACCGGCCCCTGATGAATATCATGAATATAATGAACTGAGTATAATGAACATAATGAATATAATAAATATGATGAACATAATGAATAAATATATTAATGAACATAATGAATATAATGAAATAACCAATATAATTTTGTGAATATAATGAATTGATGCGAGTTTCTGTTGAACATGCAGTGATTCCTGCAAAATTGCTACCACATGCTACATATAGACTATATGCAGAATTATTTGAGCGTAGTAATTCACATGCATAGACTTCATTAATACAATTTTAAAGTTGAGGTTATATGCGTATAATAATGTAACGCTCATGCCCCAGTTACAAATGGTATATACGTGATGTTTGCACAAAGCAAATTTAGCGATGCAAACCTACAAGAAACTTAAATTAATTTTCTCACTTATGTATGCTTTGCAGATCATTTTTCTACAAAGATTTATCTACATATACAGATGTTTTGCGTAAATGTAAAATAATTAAATTAAGGTGGCTCCCTACAGTTCTCTACAATTCTAGGTATTTTGAGGAACGTTCGCTTTGAACCGAATTTATATTAGATACACTTAAGACAAGGCAATATGATCATTTCCAGGAAAGTTCAGAAGCTGTGTGCTGTCCATTTATGAACAAATTAAAACAGTGTTTGTGTTGCCATGGCAACCATGATGTTTAATCTTTTGCACTTTTATTGTCTAATTTCACAATAAATTGACAATATCTATATTTTCCTTTGGTGAATTTTTCTGAAATATTTTTTGAAGATTTATGGCCCATAAAGGACTAACATATCAAAATTTGAAGGGCATTTACAAATAAGTTTTCGAGATATTCGTGAATGACGGTTACAGAAAAAGTTATTTGTAGAATTTCTTAAAATTTGGATATGTTGTACCACTCGTCTTGTATAACAAAAATACAAAGTTTAAAAAAATTTCACCGAAGAAAACACGAGAAAATCATCGCTAAAATCGGCGTGGCCAGCATGAAAAAAATCGACTCGACATGAGCACGATCTGCGCATGCGTGTAAATTGTAGTGTGTGATTTATTGTGATTTCAACTTTTTGGCTTACAATGCATACGAAAACTGATATTTCTGACTTGTTTGATATGAAAATAAAATATTAATCTTGAAAATACTAATAAGAAACACTATTATAGGCATTGTATTAAATCCAGTGTTAGTTTACATTTGTTTTTGTTGTTAAAATCGGTGTGAAAACTTTTCAAAACATCGAACTACAAGTTTAACTTTTCATATAAAACAACTCATAACTGTTTTATTTGATTTAGCAGATAAAACGATACCTGTGAATTGAATTGAATTGATTGACAGAACTTACATAAGTTTCGGCGACAGTTCACTACTGTTCAAGAGTTATAGAAGACAGTATCATTTCAGTTTGACAGTTCGCAACACAACAAGTTGAAAATTTTGAGCAATATATGAAAGACAATATGAACGTAAATACGTAAAAACACACTAAAAGATTGGCTAAACTAGTTAATAACATACGTACTGTTCGAATTCACAAAAAAATTAGGATTATAATGAAAAACTGGAGCTTTCTTTGTAGATAAAAACGCCAAAAAACCTCCCGCGGCTTGTTTCAATATTTTTGCCGAACAGTAAACACGACGATTCCACGCGCAGGTCGCGAGGATGAAGTCTGATCTATATAAATCGTATTTAAACTGTACTAACTGTAGGGAGCCACCTTAAGGAATCTTTCTTCAATTGAATCTCTGACTAAAGGCCCGGTTAATACTTGCAATTTCTATTGCGACTTTCATCTTCTGATGCATGTGAACGAGTGGACGAGCTGTTAATGTTCTGGGTATATATATATTATGTACCCTCATCTTAACATTCATAACTCATCCACTCGTTCACATTCATCAGCACACGAAAATCGGACTAGAAATCGCAGCAAAAATTGCAAGTGTAAAGGGGCATTAAGACAGATCGATACCCTACCTTGAAAATCAGTTCGTCTAAGCTAGAAGCCGAATACAGAAGTTCCACTTTTACATCTTTATTGAGCTGACCGTCTTTCAATGATCCGTTGATTTCTTGCAAGATG